AAAAAAAAAAAAAAAAAAAAAAAAAAAAAAAAAAAAAAAAAAAAAAAAAAAAAAAAAAAAAAAAAAAAAAAAAAAAAAAAAAAAAAACAGAAAGCAACCCTGTTCCAGAATCTGGTCTAAAGTTCATACGCAAATCAGACAGCAAATAACAGCAGAGAGGAAAAAGTTCAAAAAACTAAAGGGAACGACCCCCATAGAGCACAGAGGACAGACTTAGGACCAGCCAGGAAGGGTCTAAGGACCACCAAGACCTAGGAGGAAAACCAGTCGGCTAGCTTTGGCAGGGGTAAGGGGAGGTACATCCTTCCTACAGGAGTAAAATTAATGCCGCCAGCTTGGATCTCCCAACCATAACCGGGAGAAGAGTCGGAGTGTGTACATGGTGTTCTTTTTTTTCGCTTGACTACAAACTGCGGACTGATGCTCCCCAGAATGGAAACGGAGCCAGAACCATAAGTGCAAGGAAAATGAGCGATAGCGAATTCCAGAAAACCAAGCAGCATCATACACATGAAACCAGATAGTTTTGACCTCAAACCAAAAGCAGATTCTGAATTGCAACTTGAGTTCCACCAAATAAGAGCACAGCAAAAGCTCACAAGTGACAATGCTGGAATAGTCTCACCATCATCAACAATGAACAATGAACGAATGTCGAATCCCTATCTGGGGCTCAGCGCCCAGACTACGAATGGCAGATCCTATCTAGCCTATCTACAACGCCGCTGGTGATGTCAACAGCTTCCCGAAATACGAGCAGATCTCGGCCAATGCCGTTCGCCTCAAGCACCAGGTATGTCTCACGCTTCACTCACAACCTCGATCCCCCACACAGATGCCACGTGCACCCAAGGACCACCATGCGCCCCATCCAGCAATGCGCGCTCCAGCAGCTGGTGCAGCAGTGCTTGCGCATAAGCAGCGAGTGCCCGAATGTCCAGCCAGCAGCCAGGCCCTTTCCTTTACGGAATGAGGCTGTTAGTCGTGGGCTGCCTGGCTGATCTGGGCCTCCCCACGGAAGCTTCCGGTAGGCCCCAAGTGGCTGAGCCCCTGTCCCAGGGAATCTTCCACAGGGCCTGGGGTGGTTACCCGTATCCAACTGCCAGCAGCCTGTGTTCAGTTCATGCCCCGTGTCTGGCCCAGGGTCTGCCCCAGATACATTTGAAAAAGGCAGGCAGGGCCTGGGCTTACTCAACCAACTGACGCTGTGCAACTGCCTGAATTTCACAGCTGCATCAAAACCCAAAATAGGCCTCTCGTCACTTGTCAGGCCCGCCTTCACTTAGGGCGGCCGTTCTTGCTTAAACAGGGCCCAGTAGGGCTTACCGAGGCCTTGAGCCTCGCATTTCCTCCTCCATACTTCGACAGTCCTCTGAGAAGTTCAATCACTCAATCTGGCGCTTTCCTTTCTGCAGTGCCTTGTCATAGTGGGCGACAACCTGTGGAGCGGTCTGCATCAGTTCCTCTCTTGTGAACCATCTGTCCTCCTTAGGATCAATATGATGTCTGAACCGAACGCGATACTGTAGCTTCAGCTTTGGAGGACGGCCCCTGCCTGTTGATCTTGGAACCGGCATCTCCCTGTGGTCAACAAGTCGTCGATGTCGACCTCTCCGTCCATGGTTGGGGGCAGCATAGACCGACGAGAGGGAAACTGATCAGTTTCCTCGAGAGGTGCAAGTTTGGAGGTGTGGAAGAGAGGGTAAGCGCGAAGGTGACCAGGGATCTGTATTACGTAGGAAGGCCCATCGGGATCATCTCCGACAATGTCTAGAACCTCCCATGGTCCGAAGTACTGTGGCATGAGCTTTCGGGAAATCCCGTGCTCTTGCCCGAGTTCAGATGCCTTGACCCAGACTCTATCCCCAACCTGGAACGTAGAAGGGTGGCGGTGTTTGTTTTCTGACTCTATCATCGTCGCCTGGGATTTGTGCATGCTGTCCACTGCTTGCTGCATAAGACTTTCATATCGGTAAGCGAACTCCAAGGTACCCGGCACAGCAGTGGATTGGTTCTCAGGTAGTAAGAACTCTAGAGGCAGTCGAGGCTTAAAAGTCAGGACCAGACTGTTGGGGCTCACCCCTGTCACGCTGTGCACAGCGTTGTTGTACAGGCTGGCGATGAGAGCAAGCTTCTCATCCCATTCCACCTGATTAGGCTTGATGTAGTGCCTCAGCAGGTGTTGTACAGCATGGTTCAGCTGCTCTGCTTGTCCATTTGCCTCTGGGTGGTTCCCGGAGGTCATCTGCAGTTGAGTCCCTTGTTCAGCAGCTGCAGCCTTCCACAGCTCAATCGTGAATCGTATATCCCGGTCACTAACGATGGACTTTGGCAGGCCAAAGTCTCCAACCCAGTTCTCTTTGAAAAGTCTGATTATGTACTCGGTCTTTGCTGTTTCCGGCATAGCAACTAACCTAGCATACTTACTGAACCTATCCACAATGACAAAGACATATCTCATACCACTCTTGCCGGTGACTAGCGTATCCATGAAATCCATGGACAGGCTCTCGCCAGGCCTTTCCGGAATCGGAAGGGGCTTGAGTAGCCCAAGAGGGGCCTGTGTACGTGGCTTGTCCCTCTGACACACCTGACAAGTCTCCACGTACAGCTTCGTGTCTTTCATCATGGTGGGCCACCAGAACTGCTGCAACAAGTTAGCTGCAGTCTTTTTGTAACCAAAATGCCCGGTGGCATTGTGACACTCACCTAAAATAAACTACGCAAAGACTCTCTATTTGGCACACACAAACGTTTATTCGCGGCATTCTCGAGGAACAGCAGGCCATTGACCAACACAAACTCATCCGAAGTCACCTTGTCTTTCGCCTCGAGTCTGCGTATGATCTCTGCCATGAACGGATCCTCGTGATAGGCTTCCACCAAGGACTGAGTAACATCGTCCGCAAGCCCAAACTCAGTGATCAGCGCACCAATGAAGTCTGGCCTATGCGACAGCGCATCAGCAACCTTGTTGTACTCCCCTTTGATGTACTGAGGTTCGAAGTCATACTGTTCTATGACTTCGATCCAGCTTTTCAAAGCATCGGAGAGTACAGGCTATGTCCTCATCCACCTCAGGGTCTGATGATCAGTCCTGACATAGAAGAAACTCCCAAGGATATAGTGCCTCAAATGGGTCAGCGCTTTATAGATCGCGTAGAGTTCCTTCTCATAGGTGGACTTAGCCAACTTCTGAGAGGGCAACTTTTGGACATGTACTCTACGGGCCTCAACTTCTTCCCCTCCTGCTGCGCAAGCACGGCACCAATGCCATATTGGCTGGCATCCGTGGTTACAACGAATGGTTGTCAGGGTCAGGGAGTTTCAAGACCTCATGGTGTGTAAGAGAATGCTTCAGATGTCTGAAAGCAGCATCACACCTGTCTGTCCACTCCCAGGGGGTGTCAAGGCGTGTGAGATCCGACAAGGGGGCGGACACTATGCTATAGTTCTTCACGAAATTGCGGTCATCCCCAAGAAGGATCTCCTGGGGAGCATCAGTCCGGTTCCTATTCCACCGGCAAATCAGAATAAAATATTACATCATGAAACACACTCACGCTTCCTTTCGTCTGGCCGAAGGAACCCTAACCAGCATTGATTACTCCTGCATTGTGGAGGATTGACTGTCAGCTTGCCTTACTTCCACCTTTCCTCTCAGGTCCACTGATAAAAGCTAATAAAAAGTCAAAAACGATTATGGAAAACAGTTGGGTGTGCGAGGGTTTATGCCTCAGCATAGAGCCCTTAGCTGAGTTGGGTGTGCGAGGGTTTATGCCTCGGCATAGAGCCCTTAGCTGCAGCAGGCGCGTGCCCACCCTAAGTGAAGGCGGGCCCACAACCTTAGGAGAGTCAGTTGGGTGTGCGAGGGTTTATGCCTCGGCATAGAGCCCTTAGCTGCAGCAGGCGCGTGCCCACCCTAAGTGAAGGCGGGCCCCGGGCCCCCTGAACTCGTCAATTTTTTCAAATCTTTGTCAGCGCCAGACAGTTGGTTACATCCGCCTTGCTCGCAAGAATCCAAATATTTGTGAGCCTTCCAGGCTCTTCCAGCAACGTGGTCGAAGCAGGGAGCCCCGCACGTTTGTGCCTGGGTGGTGGGCATGCCTAACCAATTCGGTCCCAGGCCACTGTCTGAACGGGTCTGGGCGCACACACTTTGGCCGAGACTGAAGCTACTGGAAACTCGGTCTCACTGGGAAGCAAGTGGGAAAGCGCCCGCCACTTTCCATAGAGGACTTGGGCTGGGCTGCAGTCGAGACATTCGGAGGTGCAAGCAGCAGCGCTGCGGGAGTGAGGTCTCACGGCTGCATGCTTAGCGCTAGTGCAAGTGCAGAGCGGGCGCGGGCGTTCGGGTTAAGGGCGCTACAAGACGGCAGCGCCATGGCCCTCATAGCCCGGCACCAGCTTGCAGAGTCAGCGGTGATGGTGGTGGTCTTCGTGTATGGACTGTAAGACGTGGGTGAAGTAGAGGGGGAGAGAGAGAGAGAGAGAGAGAGAGAGAGAGAGAGAGAGAGAGAGAGAGAGAGAGAGAGAGAGAGAGAGAGAGATGAGGTTGATGATGTGAGGGCACGTACCTGGTCTTGGCAATGATCTACAAGGTCAACATCTTCATGCACTTCGGTTGTTACTGCTGACGTCAATGGGATACACCGTCAATTTGTAGGCTGCTAGTAGCTGTGTAGTAGTAGTCTGGGCGCTGAGCGCCAAGTAGGAGGAAGGGCTCTGGATACATGTGTTGGTGATGGCGAGAGTATGCTACTATGCTCTCATTGACATTCGGATTCGGTGCTTTGGTTCTCCGTTGGCGGAATATCAGTGCATTTCTGCTTTCTGGACAGCGTTGGACTTTCTGGCCTTCAATGAGAATTTGCATCCTGGATTTCTGTCATTTCGCTATCGCTCATTTTCCTTGCAGGTGGCTGGTAGCCTGGTACAGGCTTTTTTTCTTCTTCTTCTTTTCTTTCTTCAAGAAAAGGCTGGGAAAGCCATTATCACCCCAAAAAAAAAAAAAAATCACCATAAGATCTTTCTCACTTTGTTTCAAACTACACTCCGTGCCAAAGCAAAAGCAAAAGACCAAAAAACGCTTTTGCTGTTGCTTGCTTCTCGTGCCCTCAGCGTATTTCTCCAATATTCGTCAGATTCATCCTTTTTTCTCCCTTTTTTTCATCATTCCCCTCTTTCCCTCCCCCTCCCTTCCTCGACAATACCCCTTTCTCTCTCTCCCTTTTCCTCCCTTCCCCTCTCCATCTGTCTTTACCTTCTTGCATTCCGCCTCAGCCACTGCAACTGCTTGCCTAGCCTCCCGGAGAAGACTCTCACCCGAAGCGATCTGAATCTGGTCAACAGAATGCATGCCATTCATTTGAAAAATAATTAGCAAAAAAATGGCATCTCAATATTTGAATCTGATTGGTTAAATCACTCTCACTGCAAGCAGTCTGAAGTCGATCAGCCATTGTCTTTTGTCCAGGGGCCTCGTCCCATCTTCACCCGACTAAAACGTCCGCTCATGATTGTCATATTTGTGCCAATTTTCAGTCCAGATCCAGCGATAATGACCGGGCGTTCTATTCAGGTAAAGATGGTAGCAGTTTTGTTGAATAGCCGGATGAGAATTCCATCAGGTGTGGCACGAAACGACACAGGAACACCGTCGATGCACATGCACATAAATCACGTAGTTTCGAGGAACAGAAAATCACATGTCGTTTATTTTTGGCCTTTTCTGCTTTTTGGGAGCTTTTTAAATAATTGATGAGGCTTTTTTGAAGTTTTTTCTTCAGCAATTTCACTGCTCACTCATCCAGATTTCTCTCCTACCCCATGGCAGGAGAGAAAAATTGAAGGAGTGAACAGGTACACCAAGAATCATCATTCCCTCCAGCCTCGACTCCTTTCCCCCTTCTGGTTGGCGATTACACCCTGCCACACATGCCGTTCACATTCGTTTCAGAAAAGGGAGATGCCCTATCCGCCCTTACTACCGCCTGTTTCACTCACACTGCATGGGACACATTTCGAAAATAGGCACAAAAGCATGGCTACGCCGGACTCGGACCCGGACAGCTCATGTCCGGGGACCGGACTTCCGGACTTCCGCACATATCCGGACCTCTGGACATGCATGGTTCCGGACGGTCCAGGTCCGGAAATGTCCGGACCATTAAAAAAAAAAAAAAAAAAAAAATCTGAAAAAAAATGTTATGCAGAACAACAATGCAAACCACTTTTGCCTCAGAGTCTAGGCTACCAGAGTGGCCCGGGGTCACTTGCCCGGCCGGGCCAAAAACATAATATATATATATATCTGTTTGTGACGATATATAATATTTATTTTATTTTGTATTTTGAATTTGGTGACGAATTTCGATGTGACCCTGAGGCAAAAGTTGTTCAGTTTATTTTTCTGCATAACATAAATTGTTTGTGGATTTTTTGAAGTTTATTTATATATTTTTTTTGCTGGGACCTTCCCTGGTCCTTGCACGGGCTGGCCACCCAGGACCCGGGCGGCCCGGCTGGTAGCCTAGCTCAGAGTCATGTCAGAATTCCTAACCAAACTTGAGTCAAAAGTCAAAAACTAAAAAGAAACTTAAAAAAAGACTTTAAAAAGTAACGAATTATTAACAATTCATTACTTGGGTATTAGTAATAAATTAATAATAGTATTTTAATACTAATAAATTAATATAAAGAGGGACCATGTCCGGACCCCCCAAAAAAACAAGAACGGGCCTGAAAAAAAAACAAAACAATTTTGGGGGCTTGGCTCCTCAGTGGGGAAGGGTCGTGGACCATTTTTTTTTTTTTGGCAGATCCGGACCTTCCGGACCAGACGTCTGGAGTCCCGACTGAATCCAGACCGTCTGGACGGCGGAAGTCCGGATCGTAGCCATGTACAAAAGCTTTTCGTAGCATTTTTTTCCCTTTTTTAAGCACGTTTTAATGCTATAATAAAGCATGCCACACAGCACCATTCTTTTCAATCAACGCCTGCTAGTGGGACAAAGGCGCCTATCAAAGTTGCAAACACTATGAATGGACCTTCGCATTTTAAATGCCACCACAAATCGACACAAATCAAACGAAGAGAGGTAGCGTTGTACATAACTTATTAGAAAAAATATAACGATATATATATATAAACACCGACGAAACAGTTTGTCACAGCCCCTCGTTTGTTGTCCTCTTCTTTCTCTCTGCCTACGGTTTACCGGGCAGTTCTGTTTGTGACGATATATATATTGTCACATCACTACAAACTAAAAGAGCGCACTTTGCGGAACAAAGAATAAAAGCAAAAAACGGGCACAGTGATAACATGCAAA